CTTGCTCTTGTTAAATTGCATTAAATTTAAATGTCCAACTTGGAACACTTCGAGAGGTAAGTCTTACACAGGCCTCTCCTTCACATCACTGAGTGAACGTAAGCGGTTTGTATCCAAGCTTCCTAACACTTCACAGTATGTATCTGAAGCAGAGCTGGGGGGAAAAAATAAAAAACACCACAAAACCATACAAACAAGGAAAGTTAAACTATTTAGCTGTACGTATCCTCTGTTCTTGCTTCTTGTGGTTTTTTTAGTCTTTTATGTTTGGTGTGGTTTTGGAGACATTAGAGTGTACTAGAGTTATCTAAACATGTGCCTTATTTTACAGTGCATGGGTTGAATATGTTAATACTAATCTCTTAGTGAGCTTCAATTCTAGCATCAGTTACCATAGCTTTATCCTCAGATCAAAGCTTCCCTGTACTTGACTATTCAAAGGTGAACATCCCTCAGTAAAAAGAAAGGGGAACTTTTACTTAACAGTTTTCATTTAACTTGACCAAAAACCTTGCATTTAAATTACCATGTACAATGCTTATAGAAAAAGCTGTACATTTTATGGTTAATTTTTGAGCTTTGTGTTTTCTTAACTTTAGGATATTCATCTTGCAAAACGTTTCTATGATATGGCAGCTGAAGCAAGCCCAGATGCTCAGGTTCCAGTCTTCCTAGCACTTTGCAAGCTTGGAGTGATTTATTCCTTGCAGTATGTACAAGAAATCAATGTAAGTAATGCAGAATTAAAAGGAAAAACAACAAATGTACTTTCAATTTTTTTAAAGAAGCTTGAGTTGTATTTTACTTAAGTAGGAGTCTTACTTGAGCCTTCTGAAAACTTAGGATAGATGTGTCTTGTGTTGTTGCATATTAAGTTACTGAAGCTGTGATTCCTATTTCGTAGTTGTGCAATTGCTTGAAACGGAAATGTGCACAGCCAGTACTCTTCTGTGCTATTATTCTCTTGAAGAGAATTACCCTAACCTGTTTGACTCTTCTTATCTGTGACCATCTGCTATCAAAGTTCAGCAGATGATTACAGTGACAGTGTAGTGACATAGTTGCTGTTCAGGAAAAAAGTACTTTTTTATAGCACTAATTCTCATGCTATTTTATATTCGGCTGTAACAATCCCACTTGACTTGTGTTTGATTTCTATGGGTAGAAAAAAATATTATTTGTATTAGATAGTTTAGCAATTGTACAGAGTTTCTGCTGAGTGATGGCACTGAAAAAAATATTTGCCTGGAATTTAGGTTACTTTTTTCTGTATATTCTCTGAAATATTTCTCAGTGTTCTGACATCTTACTGCCTTTTGGATTACTTAATAAATTAAAATAGTATGGAAGTTGTTACCACTTAAAGCAAACACAAGGTCAGGCAATCCAGCTGAGTTTGACAAAATTTAAGTCTTGAGACTGGGGACTTTCAGGAGTGGCAGTCAAAATACTCTAAATCAATTGAGCAAATAGCCATGTAGCACTCACAGAAGCTGGTAGGCAGAACACAGATATTCCAAGTTTTAAGTCTGTTAATGCACACTAAATTGACAGTGACTCCATAGTACTGTCAAATAACAGCAGTGAAGCAAAAAGTGTGTGTTGGCTAATGCTTATGCAAATAGAAGTCTGATAAAAAGGCAGTTCAGTCAAAACTAAGAGTAAGTAATTTCAACTTCCCTGTACCTTATCTGTACAATTCTCAGCATTGTACCACCTAAATGTCCTGGGGCTTAATGATCTGTCACTCGTGGTAGTTGTCTGATGGCTTCCAGTTTGGCTGGACTGACCAGTTACTGCCTCTGTGTATGTGGTACTTGCTCCTCTTTCTTTAAAAAAAACTAGGATGGTTGCATATCTCATTTTTATTTAAATTATGCACATTAATGCTCTGTATGTGAAAGCCACAAAGCTACATATCAAGATCTTTCATCTCCGGAACAAAAAAATAGAATAGCTTATCCTATACATTATGGCTCTTAGTCTTATTGGCATTTAGTTCTTGGAAACTAGGAATGTCATTAATGCAGTACTATTTTTTCAGAGTGAAAAAACTACTGAAATTTTAGAACTGGTACATGAAAAATGTTACAAGTCAAATTTAAAATCAAAGTAACTTCTTATTCTTCCCCTGTGACCTGATGATATGGACTTCTTGTTCCTTAGATAAGGGAAGTATTCTCACATATTGATATGGACCAGCTGCTGGGGCCTGAGTGGGACCTTTACCTTATGACCATCATCGCCTTGCTTCTGGGAACAATTATAGCTTACAGACAAAGGCAACATCAGGCAATTCCCAGACCAGCAGGACTGCGGCCAGCTGTGCCTCAACAAGAACCACCACCAGAGCATCAACCACCGCAATAGCAACAAGAGCCTCAGTGAAAGAACTCGATTTTTCCAAAAGGAACAATTTTCATTGTGATTTAGGACTTTGGATCAATGTTCCCTCCCCCAAAAGAGGCGCAAAGAAGTTTAAAAAAAAACAAAGTTTGAAAGCTGCTTAGAATGATGCCTTTTTTCAGGGATAAGAAAATTATTTAGAAACTGATTTGAATGTTATTTCAGTGCCAATGGAATAACACTATGGCTTTTTTCGTGGAAACAAGCGTGCTACTACAGAAATGTTGCCTGCGGTATCTAGTTCCTCTTTATTCAGAGTCCTTTTCATCTCCTAGAGAGAGCAGAAGGCTACCACTGGAAGGTTTTTGCCTGCCTGATAGCTGCTGCCCTATCTGAAAGTTATAACTAAATAATTTTATGGCCAATTAAGTCCAAGAAGCTGAACTATATTTAAAGTCTAAAAAGACTAGAGCTGTATGAACTTATATTCTTACCTGCTTCCCGACTATTTCTACAATCCTTATTTCATTAATTCTTAGTATTTCTTCCACTTTGGTCTTTTTATGCTGTCTTGGATGGTTTAACATGGATTATTTATAAACTCTGTAAAACTAAGCCAGCAAACATGCCACTCTCCACTTGTGCTTTTTTGTTTTGAGTATTTTCCTCCATTCCCCTTAGACTAGACAGTTCTCAGTAGACAGTATGTAGCCCAGAAGGTGGGTTGGGACAGATTGGGTCTGTAAAGCTCATCAGTTGAAAACTATCCACACAGTGCCCAGATCTCTCATCCTAAAACATTTATGGAGCCTATGTACTTTGGCATAAAAACAAATTGGTAGTGTTCCTAAATTATTTAAACTTGCTCTTGTAAAGAGGCTGAGTCTACATTGCAGAAAGCACCAGTATTATTGTGGACACTGAAGGAAGGACAGAGACAGAAATGACAGTGAGTTAGCTTACTGTTTTGTTTTGGGTTTGGAGGTGAAAGTTCTATGTTTAATTTTCAACAATCCTATAAGTGATATGCACTGCAAGAAGGTCTTCATGCATGAGATACCACACATGTTTCAGCTCCATGCATCTGTTTAATGCACCTACAGAAAAGGGTCCCAAAGTTCCATATTCCCTACAAAAGGGCATGGGCTTATGCCAGTGATGCTACTCCAAAATTTGGATGACCGATAAAAATCATACATTAGATTACAGCAGTGCTCTGTCTGTCACCAACCTCTCTTGTACCTGACATACCATAAGAAAGTCAAAATAACGTCTCTGGCTGTGTCATCTTGAGGATCCCTTGCAATAAGAAAATCCAAAGACAAAGAAGACTAATGCTTTATGACTTCCTGATACCACCAGGTCAGTGCAAAGGCCTTTTAATGAGTGTAAAGAATACTACCTGTGGACTGATGTTTTTAGACTGCAAGAGGAATATTCACTTAATAATGATTTTCACTGAACTATAATTTCAGGGGTTGGGGGTGGGAAGCAGCAGGGGAGTAGCTTAGAGGCAAGTAACGCAGAAGTTTGTCTTCTTACTTAGCAGTATTTGTACTGTACTAGCATTAAACCCTTTGATTATACTGTCTTAAAGCTGAATGAAATATGAATGAGGAGGCTTTAGCTGCTTTCTGACAAAAGCTGTTGTGTTCAAAGGGTTAAAGGCTTCCTTTCGTGCAAGCTTTTTTTTCTAGTGGATTGGCAGCAACATATCAATACACTTTAGATTTTAGTTTGGTAAACAAGATAAGCAATCTACTTTCTTGTAAACCAAAATGACATGGCTGATAAGTATTAAAATATAGGTAGAACTTTTCAGTACTTTGAAATGCTTATACTGGCTGTGTGAAGACAAGTCTTTAGTTTGGAGGGTTGCAGCATGTGATAGAGAAGTCTTGTTCAGTCTTAATCATCATTAGCAGGTGGAACAGTATTGAACTTAAAGGTAGTGTCTAAAATGTACAGCACTCGCCAGCTGCATTTCTAAGATATCTGTGACTTCTGAACACTCCCTCTGAAGTGTTTTTGCCTCTGTCACTTAATAGCTCTTTCTAGCTTGGCATGAATACATTAAAGATTATATGGAAAATGTTTTTCAGTTAAATACCATTGGTTCATTAGTATTGGTCTTTTAGGATGTTTAACAATTTTGTTACTGCATTATTGAAATATTTTGGTTGTTTGATCTACTAGAACTAAATTCTACAAGCTGTGTCCTATTTGCATGAGAATCTCTCATCATTGCTGCTATGTAACAGTCTTAAGCTTTCACTGAACCTGATGCATTTTTACATCCAAGAAATCAGCAGAAGAAAACAATTGAAGATCAGCAAGTTATTTTACTTTGAAGAACTGCTTTTTGAAGAAGCATTAAGAAAGTCTTTCTGCTGCTTTTTTCCCTTTCACCAAATTACTACCACTAAATTTTTCGGATGACATTCATTTGAATGAAGTGGTAGTAGTAGTAAAAAGGTACTTACCATAAGTAATGGCAAGTTAACTCAGGGATTAAAGAAATGAGTACATTTTCTATATCAGTTGTCTACAACATGAATTCAGTTCTTGTGACAATCCCTTGCTACTCTGTTCTGGAACTTGCATTTTGAGGGGAATATATTTAACTCTTACTAGCAATGTTTCTTCTTGTGCACTCAGTTTTATCAAGCAGCTTTTTTCCTAAAAGAGCTGCGATGCTCAGTTTACTGCAGTGAAGTACTGTTCCCTTTTGGTAGCACACAGGTTGTCTTAGAGTTTATATGCAGGAGTATTTTATAAGGGAAACTTGATTTAAGATAAACCTTTCTGGGTATGTTCAGCATGCTTTGAATGGAAAAATTGTCGTCTTTGTCTGTAGTAACATAGGCCAGATCCTGCCTGTTTGGCCTTCTGGGACACGTGCTCTTCTCTCCCTGCACAGAGAATGGAACTATCAGAGCAGTAACTTGGTGGGAGTTCTATATGTAGGAAGACTGTAGAAAGATATGGGAGGAAAACATTGCATCTCAAATTATTAATCAAACACATTAGCTGTTCTTGCTGATTGAAGGAAATGCTGAACTGTTGAGAAAACAGGATTCTAGTTTGTCATTCTGGTGAAACTTCTCTGTTGAAATAATTTTCTTTGCTCTATATTGTCCATCATGGGACAGTGTAATAGAATAGAAGATAGGGCCTTTGATATAAACATCCCAATGAGACTTTTCTGAGACAGTTTTACTCAATTTTTAGTCATCTTCCATAATAAGTCAGCTGTTCTTATTAAAGTAAAAAAAAAAAAAGCAACCACCCTATCAAATCTTACTCTTTTTGGAGAACATTAAAACATGGGTTGTGAAAGGACTATTAAGACTATGCATTATCTAGTTTCCACCTATTATATGCTAATTTTAACCTATAGAAGTGGATCACACTCACCTTTGCAAGTTTCTTCCTGTTTAGATAGGCAACAAACTGAAATTCTATTTTTGTTTCAGAGAATATTCAACTAAAAAATTTAGTTTGATTTGAACTACTGCAAATGCATATGGTAAATGGGGAGTATTGGGGGGGGATCCCTTTGTTTTTACCAGCTGCAGTTCTTTAAAGGGTCTTGTAGGACTTTTGTAAATTTATTTTGTATTTAAAATCAGTATAAAGGCTGGTCAAATGTAATATAATTGTGTAAACAAATTCTGTTAATAGAAAGATGTACAGATTCATTTTGTACTGTATCTCTAATCTTGTGAAATAAAGATACCACTTGTGTGGTTACCCTTGGTGTTCACAGTGGTTATGATAACAAAGGATGTCAACTGTTAGTTGTTTGCACTGGTACATGCTGCTGCTAAATGCATCCCTTCCTATAAAGATACTTTTATTTCTTTCACTTCTATTCCTCTTCAAAAAATAAATTCTGTTCATTTAGGAGGAGCATAGAAAGGGGAGTAGAAAATCATGCTTGTATCTTCAGCTGTCCTACAAACTTGCCCTCTGTGTGTATATGTGTGACCCTTTCTTCAGCGTATACAGCATCTGAACTGTGTGTGACAGACACTGGACTGCTCTGTGATTCAAGAATAGTGACCAATAACTTTAGGATTACAATTGCATTTTCAGTACTAACACTGGGATAATACAATGACTAGAAACAGGTACTGGGGGAGTGACTACTCCAAGCCAACAAGTTTTCTTGCTTTTCAGGTGCTTGCTTTTCTACCCACTCATTCCTTCAGGCTCCACCTGTTGAGGCTGAGTCCTCCCTCATAAATGTATTATGTTAGTTTGCTTTACAAGGTGCTTATTAATTTGGAAGAAAACAATTAGGGAGAAGAAAAGTAAGGAGAGCAGGGGAGCAATGATAAGGATCATGGAAGGCGTGAATGGATTAACTCTCTTGGGCATCAGCCCAAGTTAATGTAGTTTTCTGAAGTATTTGGAGGCTTCCCACATTGCTGCTGACAATAGCACTTGTTTCAGGTAGGAAACAGAACTGCTGGTACTAAAACCACCTTGAGTCTGACTGATGTAGCTCAAGCTTAATGAGGTCATCCCTTACCTTCCAAAAGAGCCCGTGGCTTGAGATGTGATTGCTGATGTGCTCAAGGGAATTGGAGTCAGAAGTGTAGACCTCCACTTAAGGGGTAGGTCGCTCACATTTTTATTTCCTTGCTACACAGTTTTTCGGGCTTTCCACATAACATGGGTTGCAATGCCGTATTTTTGAAAATAATTTGGAAGAATATTAGTTTTTCTGTTGTAAAACACTTAAATTGTATTTTTCTAATTCTGCCATCAGGCATTTTCTGTATTTCCTTCCTTATTATTTTTTTCTATGCTTGTTCTTCTTCATACTCATCCTTCCTCCTAAGCATAGGCATAAACTATACTGTACAACTACATGTTCCAGTTCCCATCTGTTATTTATGAATGTGGCTTCATTTTTGTACAAGATTCATACTAATTTTTTTCTCTTTTGAGTGCTTCTAATTAATTGCTTTTACTACAACAAAGTTTTTCCCTGGGGGTGTGTGTTTGCAACCACAAGGGGCCATCGGGTATTAAATGGTGACTCGGACTTTTTTAAAAATATTTTGTGTCTCAAAGATAAGGAAAGAAGTAACTTCCCCACTTTCAGTCATGTCACATCATCGGAGGATGTGTGTGTATCTACCTGTGTGTGT